AGTGCTGGGGGGGGACACACACAGTTGGCCCTCCCAGGGCCCCGCCAGCCCCTACCTCTGTGCACAAAGAGGTGGATCTCGGTGAGGATGTCCTGCAGGGCCAAGCCCTTCAGCGTCTTCAGCTCCGTGATTTCTGAGATGAGGGGGAGTGAAGGGCTTTCTTCCAGGCCTTTCCCTGTGAAATCCCTCTCCTCATCCCCGCGACAACCCCGAGGACCCTCCCCAGCGAGCAGTACCCACCCCAGCCGGAGCGGGAGGTCACAGGATGGGAAGCCCCGGCAAAGAGGAGGATTTATAGCAGCCGGGGTTGAACCCCCGGGCCAGCGGAGGGAAAAGGATACTGCGGTAGGCAGTGGAGAAGTCCTGGTTCAGCATCCAGTCGAGGATGTTGGCAATGTCAGACTTGAGCGGGTGTCCTGTGCAGGTGTAGACGTTCTCTTCCGTCACCTTCCCGAAGGCCATGGTCGTGCTCTGAGGAAGAGGAGGATGGAGGAAGGATGAAAAGCTTGGCCCTTCCTCAACTAATCCCTCCAGGGTAGCTGCCCGCGTGGGGCCGACCGCTGCCGGCTTACCCGAGGAGAGAGCGGCTGTGGCCCTGGTCCGTACCTGCAAGATATTGAGGGCTCTGCGCATGTCGCCGCTCGAGAGGGTCACCAGAGCCTTCATCCCATCCTCACTCACATCCACCCTGGAAAACAAGACCCGGGGCTGCAGAGGGACCCAGCGCTGGCGGAGGCAGATGATACAACCGTGGGAAACCAAGCCCGCTGCTCCTCCCCGTGTAGGGGAATGGGGAAAAAGGGGGTGCGGAGGACGCTACGGAGCCCCCCGCGTCCCGTGCCGCCCCCGGCTCACCCCTCCTCCTGTATGACGTGCCGCAGCCGGGGCACCATCAGCTCCGGGGTGAGGGGGCCGAAGCGGAAGCGCGTGCAGCGGGACTGCAGGGCGGGGATGATCTTGGAGAGGTAGTTGCAGATGAGGCAGAAGCGGGTGTTTTCTGTGAACTTCTCGATCACTGCAAAGAGGAGGGAGGAGAGGTTGGTCCTCGTCGGCCGCCTCGTACAGGCTCCCGGTCCGCGCCGGGCTGGGAAAGGCTGAAGGGGTCCCCACGGGGTGTGTGTGGGGGGGTCCCCAGCGCCCCTCACCTCGCCTCAGGGCGTTCTGAGCATCCTGGGTCATGGCGTCGGCTTCGTCCAGGATGACGAGCTTGAAGCCTTTCCTTAAGAAGGGAGAAAAAAGGGGGTGGCTTTGGTCCCGGCTGCTGGCTTGG